TAATCAATTAATTTTTTAAAGTATCAGGATTTTTCTAATAAGCTAGTATGCATCTTCACTGATTTTTTTTCCACCTTTAAGAAGTTTTCATGTCCTGATATTATAAATGATGCTATAATGAACATCCTTTTGTATACATCTTTCTATATATTTTTTTCTCTTTTGTTTTCCTGTGGGATAAAATGATTGAAATAGAAGTAGTGGGCCAAAAGGCAAGCTTTGCTGGTGGAAGAGGGGAATCTTGAAAATATCTGGCAAACAGCCAACTTGTTTTTTGTTTTCTTTTGTTTTGTTTTTTGGTACGCGGGCCTCTCACCGTTGTGGCCTCTCCCATTGCGGAGCACAGGCTCCGGACACGCAGGCTCAGCGGCCATGGCTCACGGGCCCATGGGGATCTTCCCGGACCGGGGCACGAACCCGTGTCCCCTGCATCGGCAGGTGGACTCTCAACCACTGCGCCACCAGGGAAGCCCCCCAACTTGTTTTTAAATGAAGAATATACATGTATATTACCAAAGCAGTAGCCAATAATTTATTCTTTGGTATATTCACCAAAATGGATTTTCTTTTTATTGGTTTATAAACTGATACAATATTGATTTCTTTTTAAGTTAAATTTATATAGTTAATAATGAGATTTATGGTGTTCATATTTCTTAGTCAGTTGTATTTTTTTGACTTTCCAAATTGCTTTTTATCCAGGCAGGTGTTGTTTTCTACTCCCATGCTGTGTAAACTAAAAAATAAACAAAAGAAACACAGTTTTGACATAACTTTAGAGTTAACATAAATTTGTGTCTATTAACTTGAGAGAAGGAACCATTAGTGGGTTGAAAAAGTAAGTCCCTCACCTGTGGCTGGGTACCAGGCTGGTCACTGGTGACTGCTGATTTCTTTCCTGAAGGAGCCCAGGACATTTGCAGACGTGAAGTGACCTGTAACCAATCCCTCTTTTTCAAAATTTGAAAGTAGAGAGCCCTTGAAAGTTGGTTCAGCATGACCCTCAAAACAATTAAGTGTGCAAGAAAGGACAAGAAAATATCTGAAATAATGTTCCCCTGAGAGGGGATTTTAGGCTGGTAATCCAGGCACAACAAAAATGTCTAATGGTTTTTGCAAGGGATAGGGTAGGGGGGTGGGGGGGGTGATTTCTGCATAATATAGACCTAATGTAGGCAGCTTTTCTAGACCCAAGAACAGTGGACCAGTAGATTGTGCTTTTGAGAATAAAATTAAGCAAAAAAAAAAGGAAATAAAAGGTGAATTAAAATGAACTGGCCTTTTGTACACGGGTCACCAATGTGAACTGTGCAGAAACAGTATAAGCATGTGATTCTAGTCTCTGTAGAAAAGTGTCATTTGTTGAGTTGGGCAGGACTGATCTTCTACAGTGACACTTTATACCAGTGAGAAACAGGGAAAGTTTTGGTCACATGGGATTATAGTTCTTTCTTCATTTGTTTGGAAGTAGTCCTAAACCTTTTGATTAAATCCCAAGTAATTTTAGACTTTTTTTTCCCCTGTATTTCTTTTTTTTCCCCCCATTTATTTAGTAGTTGGAGGACAGGTCTTAAGTAGAAGTAATTTGGAAGCTGAGATATGAATTGTAAAATAATAGGAAAGTGACAGTATTTGTACTTTGAATTGGTGAAACAGATTATCTGCTTTATGCATGTTCTATCGCTTTTAACTTCTCTCTTTTAAAGTTGTAATCACTTTTGCTTACAGATATGTAAAATCTTTTCCACATTAAAGATATTAAATCTGTACTTGTGTATAGTAAAATCATGTTTTCTAATTGGTGCTCTTTTTTATTTTTTCCCGTTTTTTTTTTTTGTTGTTTTTTTTTTGCGGTACGCGGGCCTCTCACTGTTGTGGCCTCTCTCGTTGCGGAGCACAGGCTCTGGACGCGCAGGCTCAGCGGCCATGGCTCACGGGCCCAGCTGCTCTGCGGCACGTGGGATCCTCCCGGACCAGGGCACGAACCCGCGTGCCCTGCATCGGCAGGCGGACTCTCAACCACTGCGCCACCACGGAAGCCCAATTGGTGCTCTTTTTTAATGCTGTTATTAGTTTTTTTTTTGATATACAGCAGAGCAAAGATGTACTATTTAAATACCTCTTACTGTAATAAACAATAAATCCAGTTTGCTCCTGGCGGTTTTGGCTGGTGGAGATTGACAAAAAATAGTGGGGCATATAATTAAAGATAAAAAAGAGAAACAACAGAAGTTAGAGTAAATAAAGGAAGTATGTAAGATCAGGAGCCAGTTATGCAATGCCAAATGGACATAAAATATTAGGTAAGAACAAAAAAGGCTAAAAATTAGTCTCTGAAAAGGCAATTTAATTTATGTAACTTATATAGAAGGTAATTTTTGGCCTATTATTGTCAATATCTACCAGCCAAAACCCACCAGGAACAGAAAGAAATAAGGCACACATACTCAGTATTAGGGATGGAAAAAACATGTGTAGGGGATGAATATTTAGAGGCAACAGAATGCATTTTGAGCAAATTTAGGTCAATAAATGTGAAAAAATTAAAAAAAAACCAAACAGGGCAAATTCTTTAAAAACATAACTTGCCAAAATAGGCTTCAAAATAAATACATGAGGTAAGTAATATAAGCCTATAACCACCAGGTAACATCTTATATTTAGTTAAAGTGTTCCCACAAAGAAAACAGAATGCTCAGATGATTTACAAATGAGTTTTAACAAACATTCTTGTATTAGATCATTTCAATCCTATGCAAACTCACCTATAAAATATAAAAATAGAACATCCTCAACTTACTTTATGTGACAAGTATGTTGACTTCAAAATTAGCCAAGTTTATTATGAGAAAAATCACAATTACAAATGTTGATATAAACATCTTAAATTAATTATTAACAAACTCAATCCAGCAACAAATATAAATTTAATGAATCATTCCCAGGCTGGTTTTATCACAGCAAGCCAAGTTTGGTTTAATCTCAAAAGAAAAAAAAATTTCACAAAATACACTACCTTAACAGATAAAGGCAAAGAAACATATGATTATCACAATAAATGCAGCAAAAGCATTGAATAAATCTCATCATGCTTTGATGATAAAAATTCACTTATCAACTGGGAGTACAAGGGAATACAACGTCCTGATAAAGTGAATCTATGAAATACACACAGCATCCATTCATTTGCTCAGTGGTGAAGTGTAGAAGCACTCCATTCACATTAGGAACAGTACAAGAATATTCACATTACCAGACTCACTCAGTATTTAACAGGATGTCCCAACAAATCCAGTAAGAACATTAAAAAGTTATAAGAGTAAAAGGAAGGAAATATATTCTCATTACTTGAAGATTACAAAAGCATCTGTATAAGTATTTTGAAAAAATTTACAGGTAAATTATTAAATTAGTAAGAGGATTTATAAGTTCCCTGATACAATATAAATACACAAAAATCAATCGTATTTTCTATATACTATCATCAGAACATATAATTAAAAATAAATATCATCCACTGTAATAACAATATATAAAGTGCTTATACTTAAATCTATCAAAGAATTAGAAATATTGTATAAAAGGAGAGATATACCATGCTTATGAACAGGGATTAATGTAAAGAGGTCGATTCTCCCAAAATTGATGTAATGCATTTATCATTAACATGTATTGTTGTTTGCTTTGGGGGACTACGCAAACTAATTCTAAAATGCACATAGAAGAACAAAGCCTAAAGAAATGAAGAAAAAGAAAGGAAAAAGCCTTGCCAGATTTCAAGGCTAACAAAACGACTATAGTAATTAAGATAGTGCGGTATTGTCACTGGGTAATGGAATTTGCCAGAAGAATACAGTAGAGAACTGAGAAATCAGCTCACACAAAATATAAGGACCTGATATGTAGGGAAGACAGCATTGAAGATTAGTGGAAAAGAAAAGGGTACTGAATCTCTTCAGTCTAGGACAGCACGTTATTTATACAGAGAAAAAAATCTCAGAATAGACATAACAATTAATATAAAGCAGATTAAATATTTAAATATAAAAGACAAAATCTGTGGCAGGGACACTCTGAAATAAGCCCGTTCTTCCATCTCCTGGGATTCATGCCCTTGTGAAGTCCCTTTCCCTTGGGTGTGGGCGTAGGGGGACCTCTGACTTGCTTCTCACCAAAGTTGACTGGGTGTCACTTCCATGATTATGGTAATGTGTTAGCAGTTTCTCTATTGATTCTCTCATCTTGGCTTTTATGAAGTTACCTGCCAATGGAGAAGCTCACATGGCAAGTGACTCAGGGTCTCCAGCCAACAGCCAGAAAAGAACTGAGGCTTTTAGTCCAGCAACCCACAAAGAACTACATCTTGCCAACAACCACATGAGCTTGGAAGTGGATGCTTCTCAGAGGAGATCCCAGGCCCAGCTACTTCATTGCAGCCACATATAAGAGCAGATGACGCAGTTCAGCCACGCCTGGATTCCTGACCCACAGAAATTGTGAGATGATGAGCATGTGCTGTTCTAAGCCATTACATTTGTGGTAATATTGTTTTGCGGCAATAGATGATGATGAGAAAATTAAAATGCTTGGAAGAAAATAGAGGAGAACATCTTCAGTGCCAAGACCTTAAGAAAGATTATTTAATAAGATGCAAAAAAGTACAAGTAATAAAGAAAAACACATATTTGTTTACATTCAAATTAAGAACACCTGCATATCAAAACATATCACAAAAGTCCTAGTAGAAAGATCATGAAAATATAAGCCAAGAAGTTATTCACGAGTATAACCAAAAAAGGATTAGTATTATTAATATACTATAAATGTCAATGAATCAATGAGAAAAAAAAAGAATGCAATGGAAAAATGTATAAAAGACATGAACATGGATTTCATTTCACAAAAGAAGAAACAAATGGAAAAAGGACTACTGTGTGTGTGTGCACGTGTGTGCATAGTGCGCATGCTGCATGCATGTGCTATGTTATTAACAGAACTTCAAAAAAAAAAAGAAACGTAATATCCTTTTACCCCACTAGACAGAAAAACATCTAAAAGTATGAAAATGTCAAGTACAGGAGAAATTTTGGAGCAACACAAACTTTTCTACAATGGCTAGAGTGTCGATTTGTACAAACAATCTGTAAAAATAATAATTTGGTACCAAGAATAGTTGAGGATGTGCTTTGAGCCCTCAATATACTAGGCTGGAGTGTGGCTGGGTGGGAAGGTTCTGGGTACAAACAAAACACAATGACAAAATTCTTGTATGTGTGCATTATACAACATCTATAAACAGTTTTATATATAATGTTTGAAACTGCAAAAATTAAAAATATTCCCAAAATCCAACAAGATGAAAGATACATAAAGTATGGTATTTCAGATAATAGCATATATTGGAACCTACCACGATGAAAATAAGTGATCTCCACCTACAAACATCAACATGCATTAGATAAAATTTTGAGCAAAGAAAAGCAAGTTGCGCAAGAATAGATGCAATATGTTACTGTTTACGTAAAGTATACAAACATGCAAAAACATACAATATGTTGATAAGGATAGAGACATATGTGGTGGAGCTATAAAGAAGAGCAAGGGGGTGGTAAACACAAAATCCAGGATAGACGTTACCTCTGGGATCGCTGGTGAGAGCAGGAGAATATGGTAATGGAAGGTCAGACATATATGCTTTGTACCATATTATAGAGTGTGTGAGTATAGGAATTCTGACTCTAAGCCCCAGCTCTGGCCACAGTTACTTATCAGTATCATAGAGGAGGGCTTCTGATAGGGTCAGCACATCTTTTCAGTGTCAACATATTGGCATAACCTATCTTGCTTATCCATAATACCTACAGTTTGATAAGTAGGGGGCAGTAGAGCTGGCATATGCAAGAATCAGCAAAATAGTGTCTTCTAATTTGCATACAGTGCACCTCAGCAGGGATGTGGACAGCAATATCCAAGGAAAACCAATGAAAGAAAGAAAAGGAATTTCTCTCTTCAGTGGTATGAACCCTACTATCATAGATCTGTGGCACCTGGTCCCAATGCAGAGGTGCATGCTGTCTTGCACTCCTTGCTGGAAGGCTGAGTTTCTGGCTGGAGGCTCTGGAGTTTGCTGCTCAGTTGTCATCTACAGGCATGGAAAAGAGAAAGCATCCAGACTTACAAAGCACCAAGCAGAAGATAAAGGACCGTAGAATTTTACCCCAACCCGAGAATATGTGTGAATGACACATGAATTAAAAGGAAATAATATTCTATAAAGATGAGATAATTTTATATTGATAAAATCATTTGTTATGTATGGTGTTAAGGTATATAATCATGATATGTGTAATTTGGATATGCTACCTCAGATTGGTCTTCACTTATTCCATCATAGCCAGTGGAGTAAATGTCATGTTCACACATAGTCTTAGACACTCCCAGCTTTTATGCATATTTCATAATAAGTAAGTGGAAAAATTAAAATAAGAAAAATACAATGATTACAATCTATAAGATCATAATTATGTATCTACTGAATGAAGGTATGAACATAAAATTATGATTAATGTTATACAAATGGCACTTGTAACATGAAATAAAATTTCAAGTAATAGCATCATACTTAAATTCAAAAAAGGCTCTATCTCGGGCTTCCCTGGTGGCGCAGTGGTTGAGAGTCCGCCTGCCGATGCAGGGGACACGGGTTCGTGCCCCGGTCCGGGAAGATCCCACATGCTGCGGAGCGGCTGGGCCTGTGAGCCATGGCCGCTGAGCCTGTGCATCCGGAGCCTGTGCTCCGCAACGGGAGAGGCCACAACAGTGAGAGGCCCGTGTACCGCAAAAAAAAAAAAAAAAAAAAAAAAGTCTCTATCTCAATAAAACTCAGAAGGAAATATGATATTCTCTGGAAAAACTCAAGAAATAATGAAGACATTGAAGTCCATGAAAATTTGAATAAATTTTTCTCTTAAAACGTGAACATGAAAAAAGCACTGTTTCCAAATTAATATATTAATTGCATAACTGTAATTTTACATGTTTGTGCAACTCAGCTGATATATGGAATACTAAAATAGGTGTCTATTTGGTCTACATACTATGTATGCTCAAATTCTCTGGAAACATTTTAATATTTTCTTACTGGGAAAATGGTGCGTCACATTACATATGGGTTTGATATATAATGAATTGGAGATGATCACAAAGAGGAAACAAGTATCTTCTATTAATTTTCACGTGTGATTTTATTTAATCCTTATATCAACTCTGGGGGAGTTTTATAGATGGGGAAATGGAGATTTAAAATTAAGAAAATTGCCCAACACGTCACAGCTGGTCATTATTTACTGACCTAGGGATTTGTATTCAGTTTTATCTAATTTCAAAGTTCATATAATATATAAAAGTGTTGTGAATATAACATTTTTAATAGAAATCTCCCTCTTCAAATTAATCAAGGAAATGGGAGAAAGATGCAAACAAACCTTGTGAAAAACCCACCAGTGCAATCTGCTGTTTATACACAGAAAACCTTCCACCTCTTATCATAATGGAATCCTGCCAAGTTCTTATGTGTGGATATAAGCAAATACCTTTTTACTCATGCGTTCAATAATGGGAATTTTGAGAGTTTTATAATTAATGTGGGGTGAAAGATAAAGTATAACTGAATATATGTACATTTCATTTTGGTAAATCTCGAGAGAAATAACACGAGTTCCTTGGCGCATGAAAGCCCACCGCAAGCGTGCTGTGCTCTAGTTAGCACTGAATTAGCCAGGGCACCCACGTTAATGTCTGGAGTAAAAATGAAGAGCAAAAATCACCTATTTTGTTTGTGTAGGGTTAACTTTTATTAACTGCATTATTTATATGCAGTTGTCTTTTCATGGGTATTTTATGGAAGCAATTTCATCACTTCTTGGTTGTATTGTGTTCTTATTTTAAAATCCCAAGAACTTTAAACAAATCTACAACAAAATTAATCTTTTGAAACAAGCAAAGGAATAACAATACATAATTAAAACAATAAATAAATACTAATAAAATTGGGCAGTAATATTTCATTGTAGTATAACAGAGGTTGGGAGCATCATTTGCATTATGCAATGAATAAGGTAAGAAGTGCCTTCAGCATTGTTCATAGAAGCATGTCAGATTTTAATGCAGAGATTAGAGATTTTATGTTGTTCATTTACTAAATGAGAAAAGTGACAGTGATGGGAGCTGAATTAACTTCCAAAAGAAGAAATGGAGAGCATCATGGGTGTCACATGTGCGTGAACATTTGCTTCCTTAAATCATTAGGAGCAAGGTATATACCCATGTTTGGAAATAGAGAGAAAGACAATATATGGGAAAACACCACATTATCTAGGACGTTGGAAAACCTGAAACACTTATAGGTGGAATTCGTCAGTGTTAAGACACTTGAAAGAAACATTTCATCTCAAGAGTCACAGCAATACAGAAGTAGTTTAAAGAAAACAGAAAGAGCAATTGCAATGTACTGTAGAAAAGATTTGCTCAGATTACAATTTATCCTTTTTTTCTCAAGTTTTAGCTATAATAATAAGGTTTCAAAGAGATTCTTAAATAGTTTATACCATAATGAACACAATTGTTATAGGAATGATTCTCCTTGTGCACCTTACTTTGTGTTCAGATTTAGGTTCAGAGTTCCTTCCATTCTTTGCTCCTTTGTTCCTTCTTTCCTTCCCTCCCTCCTTCCCTTCCTTCCTTTTTGGTATTATTTACATGGTAGGGAACAGAACAGGTAGGAATTTTTTCCCAAAACGAATTCTTTTAAAATATATTTGATTGACCGTCAGCTCCATAGGTTTTGTTCACTGCTGGATTCTCAGGATCGGTTAGCTGTGCCTGGTAATGTGAATCTGGAGGTGCTGAGAGGGGAGGGAAAGGAAAAGAGATGCTACTGGCCAGATGGAGCCTGGATGAAATACACTGAGGTATCCTCCTTCGTACTGTTATTACTAGCAGTGATCTGCATGCAGCCCAGTCACACCGCACTCACACATCCTTTTCTCTTCAGGGCATCCCTTGATATTCAATTAATTATGGACCACATTTCTTTGTGATAAATGTGCTGGGGTAGTTAAGTGAGGGGGTGGGGGAATTGAGAAAGAGCAAGTGTCAGCGGTTTTGTTCTGTTTGCGCTTCTCTTTTGCAAGGGCTACTCGTTGATGGGACATCCTGTGACAACTATAGAGTCAAACCTAATGAGGAAAAGCACAGGTGGTGATCTCTGTCCAAATTTACTGAAACTCCATAACTACTCCCTTTCCTCGTAACCACTTTTTCAGAGATAAATCCTGTCTACTACAGAGTAGATAACACTTTGCGGTGTCTTTCCTCGGGTGGTAATGGCTACCCGGCATGCCCTTCCTCTCCTTCTCTTCTTGATGAATTCTGGAGAGACCATCAGTTCTTTGGGGCAGGGTCAGAGTCAACCAGTTTTTGTGTTCTCCCCTCATGCTAATCAATATCTTGACAGTAGATACCCCAGAATTACTGTGAATAAGTGAATTGATAACGGAATTGTAAACCTGCTCCAAATTCCTTCACAAAAACATACTCCCTAGAGAGAGAATATGGGCTTCAGATTAATCTGTAAAATGAATACCAGTGAGTTGTTGTGAAGATTGTAATGATATACATGAAAACCTTACGGTTCTGTGCAGCACATACTAAGAGACTAATTCATGATAGATCCTTATCTTTCTTAAAAAAAAAAAAAAGTCTTCACTCTGCCAACCCTGTGCACCACCTACTAGAATATCTCAAGGGGCCTGCAGGGACCTTCCTTTTAGAGATCTCCTGCTTGAATAGATACCCCACCTGTGGCAGGAGGGGCAAATGTGGAGCACAGGTGCATAGTACGGGATGTTCTTGCCACTTAGTAAGTTGGGATGATGTACATAGAAGAGTGAAATGGACTGAGGGCAAGTCAAAGACAGGACTTGGAATTAAGATAAGGGAGTAGAGGCACGGCTCACCCATCACTAAGGGTGCTAGTGGCCGAAATTGTGGGACTGCATTTTCCAACTCAGCTCCATACAAAATCCTAACACAGTTACCTGTCCTAAAGTCCTAAAGAAAAGGGCTGTTACAAATTATCCCAACCATAGCCAAGTTGCTTTTAGCTTTTTATTTGTTTATTAATAGAGGAGTTGTGTTATACATATAGCTTGAATAAACTTCATAAATGATCTTCAGTACAGGTTTTCTTTGCTGCATAACTGGACAGGTGTGAAAGAAAAATGAAAATAAAAAACAAAAGCAAAACCCCCATGGTGTGGAAGGCTTAGCCGAACCTATCTTTGGAAATAGAATTAAACATGTTACTTGGACTAAACACAAGCTCATGTAAATTATAGCTAAAGCAGCTACAAGTTAACTAGAGAATGTGAGAATCTACTGTTTGATGTTCCTACCATCCTTTGTGCAAAAAAAAAAAAAATTCAGTTTAGTTCTTAAAATATTATTTGGATTTTTCTGCCAACATGAAGGGAAATAGAGATATTAGTCAAGTACTGAAAACACTGCCTTAGCAGCTATTTTGACATACTTTGGTTTACATTTAAATAAGCAGTAGGCAGCCCGCATATTAAATTCCTTGATCTGTCTTAGATTAGGCTCCCTTTCCTCTGTAAGTGGTGTTATAACATACTGCCTTCTATTCACATTTTTTGCTAAATTAGTGATTTTTTGTAATTATGATCAGAGTTAAGTCAATCAAACAGATTCTAAAACCACTGTTAATGTTTACTTATAGATAACTGAATGTGATAGACTTTATATCAAGAACATCTAGGATCTATGATGCACCAAACTCTGCTGATAAATGACACCAATCAAAAGTCAGTGGCAGACAGAAGGGGTGGCATTTCCACAAAAGGGAAAAAAATTAAACATAACTAGTGTGTGTGTGGAGAGAGGTTCTTCTTCAAATATGAAGATATTTGTGCCAGATCCCATGCCATGGCTGGGTACTGGACATAAATAATTATCCCATTCTTGCCAGGCCACTTACAGTGCTAAGTCTTCTGTTTGTCCAAAACGCCAGCCAATCAAATGTCTAACATTGCGGGTTTAGGCTGAGTGTGTATGAGTTGTTGTGCCACCTGCCTAAAACTCGTGCCTTTCTGGGTTTCTAAAGATTAAATTTAAGTATAATCATAGATTTATTTTCTTTCTCCTGAACAGATTCTCCCATTTCCTTCCTTTCTGGAATTGTCATTACAGTAAATTCATCTCTGGATATGGCCTATTTCATCCTAAGTGAGTAATTTGCATTATTTCAAACTTTTGAAAACTAGATCAACATTACCACTACATTTATGTTACTTTTGTCAGCAAAACGGACACATTCTTTCAAAATTTCAACATTTCAATGATATTATTTTAATAGAAGCTTTAATTCCAGTTGGGCCTAAGTTTGGGGAAGTTAATGAGGAAAGGAATTGATTTTATGGAAAAGACATTTTTTAAAGTGTTTCCTTTGGAAGTGTCACACAGTGATAATCGTTGCTTTAATTATTTTCAAGACGATCAGAAGAAAAATAAGTGTAGAGTCTATTCACATTTCTTCCCAGGATAACACCCTAGGAATGTAGGACTTAGACGTTCTGAGATTATAATTGAGATTATAAGGCAGGGGCTCCCAAGCATGAACAAATGGACGCATATGCAACGGCTGGGGCGTCCCTCACCCGTGTAAAACATTGCTCAGAAATAGAACCTGTGAATAGAAGTCTTCTCCTCCAGCTAAGTTTCCCGTGGGGTGGGAGTGGATGAGTGGACAAGGAAATTCACCTTGACCTTGCTATGTTGTAAAAGTTAAGATACACTGTGAAGATCATCTTAAGTGTGTTCCTTTCTTTAGCTATACATAAGATATTCCCATATTGTTCCCGTATCCATTCACAGAACTGCTCTTTCTTTTCCATTTTCTCCCCTCCAGCTGCTCCATATACTCACCCTGGCTCTCTTCTGCCTGTGGGCATGTTTCTGTACAAAGTTAAAGGAAAGGCAGTGGTACAGTTTCTGTCTTCTCTGCTGTTACTTGCACACGTTTGTAATTCTTACCTTGATCAGGCCTAATATTACTTGCAACCCAGAGCCTTTTTATTTGATCTGATTTAAGATCACACATCCTGGGAATTGAAAGCAAACACCGAGACTCTGACCAATAATGGAAACAGTGTTATCATCCATGTAGAAATGTTACATGCTTGTTGATAACCCTGAGATAGGACGAATAATCTTCCTTGAGAATAATAGTGTGGATTCAGGTCTTCAGTTGCCCTCTCAACCTGTATTAATAGGATTTTCATTCATTTTGACACTGTAAAGAGAAAGCAGGGAAAGCTACGAGAGGAAGCAGATGGGGTCGGGGGTGGGGGGTGGGGGGGAGTGGTCAGTCTGCTTTCACACTGTAATGGAAGAAAAATGACAGCCCAGTTAGCTTTAGCTGGAATGTAACATATCCACAGCTTTATCACCCTGGAGGCACATTTTGACATAATAACAAACTACTGAGAAAGAACCACTTTTACCTAGGTCAGAATGACAGACTCCCAAGTGTTAGAGCATGGGCGATGGGGAGGGCGTGTGGAAACTACAGCCTGAAGCATTAGGAAGAAGGCTGCAGTCTGTACAGAGATTTTCATCAAGTCTCCACACTGCCTAATAGTTTTCATCCAATACCTTGTAATTACTCCTCTGGCTTCTAATGGCATAGCATTTTGATTTCAGAGCCTACCAAAATAAGATGAACCATACTTTATGACGACTATATTTATAATAAGATGCAGATGGTAAAGGAAACAGATGCCTCTGACATCATCTCCCATTCGCCTTCAACTTTTGCCGACACTGGCAGTCTGTGGACTCATTCAAAGGGATGCAGGATAAGTCAGGCAGTTTTCCAATTCTGTTTCCAGTCTAAAAAAACACTGGCAGCAGTGGCACTGCTTTCTTTGAGTCATACAGTGATAATTCCACAAGGAGAAATCTGATTCTAAGGCTGTGTCAGGCTTTGATGCAAAACGAATCATCAGGACAGAAAAAAAAAAAAAATTCCCACAAATATCAGGAGTTTAGCCATTAGTAACTACTGACTGTTTTGCGTGACAGCGACAGAAAGAAAAGGGTGGGAGTGGTGATGGTGAACAGCTACAGCTTCAAGGGAGCAAGAAAGAGAGCGTTTTAAAAAGACAAGCAGGTCTAAAATACCGTATCGGTCCTTGGCAGCCACCGTTCCAAGACTGATTCTTTATTACTTCTAAATAAAAAACTTTGAGGATTTTCAGGTCATTGTTTCTGACCTCAAAAAAAAAAAAAAATCCATTCTGTATTTCCATCTATATTTTCCAGAAGGGATCCTATAATTCTGATAGGAGTTTTCTCCATTTCCCCAGTGATATCAGTGAACATTATACACAGTAAAGGGATATGTGTGTGTGTGTGTGTGTGTGTGTGTGTGTGTGTGTGTATGCATGCAAGATAAATGCATTAGGACACCTTCTGAAAAAGATAAGGAATTTTTGCAGTCCATCTTGAAAGCAACAGACGCTTGGGTATAGCAGCAACTGCAAGGCCTTTAGCAGTGTGTGAGGTTCGAGATAGATCAGCACAGTTACAGATGAAGGAGTGAGTTAGACAAAAACCTTTAAAATCTTCCTATCTCCCCTGACCACTGTAATATAACTTCATCTACACCTCTGAAGCAGAAACATTTTAGCAGAAAAAATTCAGAAACAAAGGCAAGGAAAAGTGGTGACATAAAAATGAATTCTGCTAGGCCAAACAGGGTGCTTATTTTTAAATAATCTCTCTGTGCAAGTAGCAAACTGATCACTCACTCACACACACACACACACACACACATACATACACACATACAGTACAAGAATATACTAACTCTTCTAATTCATATCCACAAATTGGGTTGGAAATTATTAGTGCAAATTTCTGCTGACCTGCAGCATTTAGTCCATAAACTTTGGATATCCTAGACGATCCATCAGTGTCCAGCAGATGTTTTCAATCAGTTTAATTTCATCTCTAGGCAAGTTCTGTTTCCAAACATTAGTATTAGTTGGTGATATTTCCCCTTCATAGGGAAGATAGAAAAGGTTCGTGGAGGTGGCAAACAATATTTGGTTTAAACTAGCAGGAGACAAAGGAATTCCAAGAAAGGCAAAAATCCTTTCAGTGGTTTTCTGAGGAAAATGCACAATATCTTCAAACTTGATCATCTGGTAGCTGGTAGGCAGCAGGTCTGTGTTTATCCTCAAGGCTGCTGCAGTGTTTGCTAGCCACACGTGAGCCAGCAGAGACACTGCGTGTGGCTTGGACTTTGATAATTCTTTCCTCAATGATTCATACTCGGAAGCATAGCCCGAATTTAAGTTACATTTGCCTTTACCTCCCTCTATTTTAAACAATTTAGCTAAGTGCTCTGGTACATTCTTCAAAGAGTAAAGACTTGGTTTACTACTGTACAGCATCGAATAAATCCACGCCCGAGGGTCCCTCACCACATACAAGGCCCTCATCGAAGCTCCTAAAACTTCGTGGAAGAAATGCAGCTTTAAGGTCCAGCTCCCACTGTTCAGGCTGAGCACGGGCCGCGCGCTGGGGTAATGGACCAGGTGTCTCCTCAGAGCCCGAATGTATTCAGCGTCTCTATCAAAGGCGCCTTTCATTCTGCTTCTTTGTTCTGGCAAAGACTCTCTCCTTTTCAGCTTCCTTTTTTTGTCCTTATTCGTGGTAAAATATTGGGCCAGTTTACCCCTGCCGGGTTCGTGCAGATGGATGTTTTGCAAATGGAGTTTTGTGTCTTGGACCAAGGACTGCAACCAGCCTCGGAGTAAACGGAAATGCACACCGTGGACATCCGACGCCTTCCATTCACAGGCATCCACAAAGGAGTCGATCTCAAAGTCAGTTTCAGGGATGTCAATGTAGGCTGTGGGAACCCTGATGTAGAGAAAGTCACTGCTGTTGAAGAAGAGTTGTTTGAGAATTTCAGCTCCTGAGCCAGGAAGTGAGGTAATGACGATGTCAGGAAGATCGATGAGGTGCCCTTGGGGAGACACAGGCTTTGGGCTCGCTTCGGCCTCCGGCCTCGCCCACTTTGCACAGATGGGCTGAGTGCAAGTGCTCCACACATCCACCAGCTCAACGAACCACAAGGCAATAACAAGGGTGAGGATCCACCGCATTAGCTTTCTAAAAGAAAGGTAAAACCGCCACTGAAAAGTTAAGATCACCAAGCTGATGCACAAAATCAACCCAACTGCTACATTAAATTTAAATCCAAAGGGAAAAATCACTCTGTCACGTCTTACGGGCTTCACTATGGCTTGAGTGCCCAAACCAAATCGGGTTATTTGGACCTGATCAGCCACACTGGCAAAGCCGCCAAATCCCAGGTAATCGAACCTTGTTTTCAAGTTGTGGTAGTCAGTTACAATGGAAACAACGTGTTCAGTATTATTGACATTGAGAGAAATCTGAAGTCCAGAATTGGAATTATCAATAAATCTGCAGCTGGAAACATTGACATATGGCCCATAAAAGACATATACGATTCTTGTGATTGTGGATTCCATCTGAAATGTAACATTAACAAATTGAGTCCACCGTTTCTTAAATTCAGCTGCTTGCTCTGCTTCCTGTATACTAGCAATGGGGCTACTGCCACGATGATCAAACCAAAACATTTTGTAATGTGCATCCCACACATCCATCATGGCGCCGTTATACCTGTTCATGAACCTATATGGGATGTACTTAAAGTCAATATCCAGATTATGGAAGAAGGCACTGACAGATTTTATTGGGGAATCTTCTTGCCTCTCGACGTGATCAACAACTAGCAGAGTCTGAGAGTTTAAGAGAAGCAAAGCCCGATACACACTTTTCAGCTTCATTGCTGAGGAATAAGCTGACACTGCTTCCCCGCTCACAAATACCATGTCCCCATGTTGAGAGGCAGTAATGATTTCCCCCGCTGCATCACCAACCTCCTCGCCGGTCCACTTAAGCCACTGTGCACATTCTCCCAGCTGCCCTTCCCAGGGCTTATTACATTGGCTTGTGGGTGATGGCGCAAACACCAGTACGTTGTTAAGGTGGCTCAACTTGGGTCCATAGAGAGCTTCGGAAACAAATACCTGCCCATTGGGGGCAAAAGTGAATGAGTTCTGATCTGGATGTTCATGTCCTGGGTTAAAGCTTCTCCACCCATCAATCCAGGAGTATGGCTGGAAGTGAACTATGTCATAGACAGCTCGCCCTCCTAGCTTCCCAGATTTAAAAGACACAAAGGTATTGGTCTGTGTGTTTGGCAACCCAGCCCCATAAGTGACAACACCCCAGTTAGGGAACGTGTGCATTTTTGCAGTACCATATTCTGCAGGAGGCCGTGGGGTGAGCTGGGGATCATACCAGATGTATTCAGTGTGAAGAGTACTCCACCTCTGGGCAGTGGAGGGGACCATTGGTCCATCTTTAGGCCGGTGCCTTCTGATTTGCTGAGCTAACCAATTTCCAGCTCCATTCTTTAAGACGAACTTATCCAAAAAAACTAACTGGCTCTCGGGACCATAAAACCAATTATAATTGGAATCTGCTATACCCACAGTTCTTTGGAAGCCTGGCAAGAGGGTGGCGTAATAGAACCAAAAGTGCATTTTTAACCAGTTATTATCCAAGTTGTTGATATTAAAATGGCGCTGGGCCAGAAAAACGTACTGTGTGACTGACTTAGCCGTGTAGCTTCCATAGGCAACACCTTCATCCAAAGTACCATCGACAATATGATTCAACAGAAACATCATCTTTTCCATCACATCTACTACAACCTGTTTCCATAGATTTACTTTAGATCCTTTATCCACCCCAGTCACCAACGCCCCGGTGAGTAACGCTATCATATTAGTAGCTTGGTGGTTATGAAGAAGTTGTTTGCCCCATGAGCGGACCTTGGAATACTCATACATTTCCTCAGTAATAACCCATATTTTTTCTAGGTATTTTTGCCTTCGATGATCATCTAATAAGTTATATAAAAAGTCAAAGGCAGTGGCAAAACCTGTTAAGGAATGGCCAACTGGAACCTCATCCCCTGGTGCATTCTCCACCAGCCAGTCTTTGTAGCCCACCATCCTGTCCATATATTCCAAAACAAATTCAAAGGCAACTTTGTCTTCCGGGCATAACAAACAGTACAGTGCTAAAGGGGGCAGATTGTTACCATAAATTTCATTCCACTTGGCAGCAAAATCAGCATGCTTGGGTGGAGGTAGGTAGTATGTCGGGTTGGACAGCATAACCATCACTGCACTTCTGATAGCTCTAAAAAGATGCAAATGGCTTGTGCGAGACTTTTGCCTCATTGCTTGGATCTCTCCAGCATCAAAATATAAATGTGGATGAAGCATACTTTTCTTCAGCTTTTGGTTGGGTCTGAAATCTTGCACTTTCTGTGTCTTAAGCTGATCTATGTCATCTGGGAAAACTGCCCAGTCAGAGTAATTGCTCACAGATTCTTCAAAAGTAGAGAAAGCAAACATCACTAACAGTAAAAATAAGAAATGTCCTGTAAACATTAACGCCATGATCCATCGGGGAGCTCCTTTCCTTAGGCATACATGTCAAACACAGTGCTCAATGTGTTTCCCATCTGCTGAGTATAAAACATACATTTAAGGCCTTGATAAAACACAGACTGTAAATCGGATATGCTGTGAAATCCAGCTGACATTCGGCTCATTCAAAGCAAGTACAGTTGCCAAAAAGAGAAAACTTACACTGTGGATCTGTTTGCCTGATGCAGTGTTGCTTCCAATAAAACTTCAAGGAATGTTAAAACCTCTAATTTTCCAATATCACACAGTGAACAGGGGTGGAGATAGTCAAAAATACCATGAATTCACAATTTACTTCCTTGACATAAATCTACCTAACACAAAGAGTCAAAAAACACACATTGTAAAAAAAAGAAAAAGAAAAAGCACTCCAAAATCCACGTTAAGAAGTCATTCCTGGAGCAGGAAACCATCATCATACGTGTCTGATGCCTTTGCCTGTGTGTGCTCAGAGAAGCTGACAAAGTACTGCAATTCTTGGAGCTGACTGGGTTGTTACTCCTCTCAGCTTTTTACACTTTTTGCTTTGAGAATTTTTTCTTCCTCCATTTTTGGGGCAAAAACATCCTCAACAAGTATTCAAAGTCCTACTTGGTTTTAAAACAAGATTCCTGTCCTCATTTCAGATCTGTCTTTTTTCAGGCTTACTTACTCATCAGCCTATTATGACCCAGAGAAAGCATTTTCCCATCTTCTTTTATCAGCTTCATCGGTACAGCTATGAAAATCTAATCTCTTCAACCACCTAGGTACTTCTCTTCCAATCATGAAGTAACCACCAACTGGGAAAGGAAACTCCCCTTTCACCAACAGTGACGTGTCTTTTCTGTTCCTTTTTCATGACATACTCCTTTCTGGGGGAAAAACAAAACAGAAATTCTCTGAGGCTACAAGTATGCTGGGAGTGGACATAAACAGAAGATTTAAATGGTCTAACGTCTCCTGATAGAAATTTTAGAATCACAATAAGATCTGTTATTAACTACAATCTAGGTTAGACCAAATGGTTCTTTTTTCTTATACTTTTCAACGCATATATTAGGATAACAATGGTGGCAGAAGACAAGCGGCTACAAGATGTAACTTTCCTAAGAGTATTTATTTTAACTGTGGCTTGCTTTAGTCATTTAAAATGTTTTTATTCAAATGCAGTTAACAGAAGATGAGTCCTGCTGTCATTCTTGTTTTGATCACAGAAGACTCAGAGACAAAAAGCAAAAGTTTAAAGGACCATTATGGTTCCGGTTGAGGGTTTAACGTTCAAGGGCTCAGAAGGTGTCTTTGCCAGGGGAACTAGTAAGAGCAGTCACTTTTCTCGAAGGAGAAATCATGACAGTGTGTGGGAGCGAGGAACAGCGAGCGGTCCTGCACCAGTCTCTCTCCCGTAGCCCGGTTTTCCATCCTTACAAGAAGCCGCCAGAGGGAGCTCAGACCCACACTCAAGGAGCAGCTTCGCGGCTGCCCGTCTTCGGTTCTGAAGAACCTAACCAAGTTTCAGTCTTGGACAAGTCTCCTCTCTGCAGGAAACATGAACGCTAGGAGTTCCCTGATCCGCTCCGCCTGTTGCATTTTTTCATTCGCTTCCTACGAACATGCCAACTCCATCCTCTGCTCCTCACCCCCGACCTCTGGCTGTGGTTTGGGGATAAGAGACCCCTCAAGGGCCAAGTCCGCTTACCTTGGCAGGTCCGGACGGGGTCTCCCGGCAGCGGTGGGCCCGGAGGAGACGGAAGCGGAGAGTTGGAGAAAACTGCTCTGCGCTGGGAGCCGGGCCGCGCGGCCCCCCGCAGGGCTCCTGGCGCCCCCGGCGCGGCGCCCCCCAACACTGCAACAGGCTGCGGCCCCGCGCTCGCGCCCCGGCCTGCGCCGCGCGGACACGCCCGCCCTCGGGGAACGCCGGACGCCCCCCCGGGCAGCCCCGGACCGCGGAAGGCAGATCCGCGCGCCCCGGGCGCGCTCGTGGACGCCGTGTCCAGAGGGGCGCTGGCGTGTCCAGAACGCGATGCCGCCGCAGCCGCCGCTCCTCGGTGCCAGCTCCGGCCGCGCGGCCCAGGGAGGGCGAGAGAAGGCTAGGCGGGCCGGGGGCGGGGCGGGAACGACGGGGGCGGGATCAGGGGCGGGGCCTCGGGGCTTCGGGGCTGGGGGAGAGTGACAACAGGAGGCTCAGGCTGGGAGGAGGGGGCGGGGCTGGAAGGAGGAGGGGGCGGGGCCGGGGGAGGGGCCGATCGCCCCCGGGATCAGAACCCAAGGGGCTCGGGGCGCGTGTGTTTCCGGCTGCTGTGGCGGCCTCGCGCTACCGCACGGATAGAGCCCGAGGAGGGGGAAATTTGGGAGTGCGAGCGTCTGAAGACGGCTCCCTGCCGGCCGAGTCCCGCTTCTCTTACCCCTTCGGTTGTGGGGAGAAGGCCAATCTAACAGGGCTAGGAGTGGGAGGAAGATAGAGGAGGTTCTGGGCCTGATTACAAACGATGGGGGAAGCGGGGGCGGGCGGGGTGACGCTGTGGGATGTCATGGATCACACTTGAGGAACAGCAAGGGCTGAGAAGGGGAAGAATGTGAGGCAGCCTGGCTGAGGTTGCTGTCAGTCAGAAATGCAAAATCAATATACCGGATTAATGTGAGACTGACTTCAGGAGCACAGACACTGAAGATCAGGGGGAAACAAAAAAGACTAATCAGCTTTATTGATCGGAATAATTTCTCCGGCAGTATAAAGATGGAAAGGTACGGGACAAACAGGTGGAAGGAACCTCTCTTATTAAAGAAGTGAAACCTGGAATTCAGTGAAGACCCACAGGCAGCGAAGACTGTGTGGCTCAGTTATGTGGCACGTGTGCGCAGTTCCAGACATTGGAAATCGTAGAGCAGCTGTGATTCCTGTGGTACTGGACATATGGAACTTCTCGCAGACATCTGAGATTACACTTGGGCAGGAGTCAACCTAAGGTCTACCCTCTGCTATCACGAATAACTTAGTAAGGACAGGAATACAGTGAAATATCAGTTGTTGCAAATAAACAAACCCCTCCCCAGTTGGGGATTGATGACGCCTTCACTTTCGTCCTACTCCATCCCATTTTGGGAAAATGGACAGATATGTGTATTAAAAAGTAAGTGTCTTGCTTGGATCACTTCCTAGCAGAATAAATTTCAAAATAATTTACCTTGGGCGGAAATGTGACCTCTACCTTCTCATCAGTCTTCTATTTTATCCCCTTCGAAACCCAACCCCAGTCCAAATGGCCAGTCTTGCTTTTACTTTGCTGCTTCCATAACTGTGCTTATCCCGTTCCTTCCTGCATAGCATCCTCCACCCAACACCCCCATTTACTAGGTGAAATTGTTTTTGACTCTTGATGTTCTCTTATCATACTTGTCTCAGCTCAGATGCTTAAATTCTTCTGTAAATACACCCTAGATTTTTCCCTAACCAGAATGAACTACTTCAGCACTCTATGATTTATATCTATATTCAGCCTCAGCTCATTTGTTTTACGCTTAATATTTTCCCTGGCTCACTCCTGTGCTCTATTCAAAGCTCCTTCAGGTCATGGGCATTCACTCAGCGCCCACCCCGATAAGGGCTGTACCTGTGTTTGAAATGAGTTGAACCTTCAACAGTTGGGCTTACGTAGAGCATTGTCTCCTCCACTGAGATTCATTCTGAAACAAGGATCCTCCTTCAAACTCCAGAGGCAAAACTTCCTGTAAACATCTGGACTGTCCCCCTATGTGACCCACGATGGAGAAAGATGACCCATGGCTTCCAGCCTCACTTACGGGAGAAAGTAGATTTGGAGGAAAGAGGAGCCCAAATGCACAGATTCTTATAATTTTCTGCAAAGAGGAGCTTTGGAAACCGACTAGGAATTCGTGTTAGTAAATACAGTGAGTAAACATTCAGACCATTTCTCAGAACAAAATGTGTGCATGGGACTCTTTCATTCTGTGGATGCAGAGTGCCTCACAACATGAGGGCAAAGTGAACCATAGAGAATTATTATGAGCACTGACATCTGCCAGGGGAATATTTCAACTTTCATCCAATCGTTTTCTTTTTTCTTTTTTTTCGGAGTTAACATCAGTATGATCATTTTTACTGTACAGACGAATGCATTCAGGTACAGACATTGTGGCTTTCAGGTCTGCCCCATGCATCTGCGCTGAAGCTGTGGGATGCAGCGAACCTCTCAGCATTTCTAGATGAGCTTTCAGGCTAATTCACTTTGAACTGGCATCGTGTCCAAGTTGTGAGTCCATTGAAATAAAACAGGAGCTATGGCTGAACAATTCAAGTCATTGGCAGAAAGGGTGGTAGGTAAATGACACTATGAAAAATGAAGAGCGTCTTGTTTCTGTGAACTAAAAATGGATAGCTCCAATTATTGCTCCTTCCACACATGAAGATGGTACAAAGTTAGTTAATTATAAATATTGCATCCAGCCGTAGAAGGGATGAGCTGTATGTTATGTTATTGCGCATTAAAAATCTTTATGAGTGTGGCAAGAGATACATATACCAACAGCTGATAAATTCAGGATCCTGGAGCAGTATCTTATTTTAATGTAAGTGAAGACCCATACAGTCTATTGCTCTAGGGATTTCCTGCTATATCCTGCTATATAAAAAGATCTTAAATCTACATGAGATATTACTTGTGATTTCAAAGCACTTAATGAAAATCTGTGTTTTTTTAAATTTGAATATCTTTCAACCCTACCCCCAGCCACCCTGCTTACAGCAGAGATAATGCTTTCTCGACTAGATTCCCCAAGGCAGGAGGCTTCCTTTCCTCCTCCCTTCCTCTTTCTTTCTCTACTTCTTTCTTTTCTGATCTTCTCTTTATACTTATTTTCTGTTTTTAAATTCTTCAACACCTAGCTCAGAGCCCAGCAGTTTGTGATGAGTGTGTATTGACTGTTGAACATGAATTACCACCCTCATTTTAAGGCAGAAGATGAAGAAGTTATAAACCTCTGAACCTCTGGTTGCTGAGTTCTGAGCAGAATCAGAAGCTCCTGCTCTTCCAACGGTGCTGAGGAACTTGCCACCGCACAACTGGCGTCGGAGCTACATCTTGGGGGTGAGTTAATTCAAATGAAATTTCAGAGGGAAGTCGGCCAACATTTTAAGGAGAATTTCTGCAAGAATTTTATGTCTTCGGATAGGTAAAAATTCAAGTTCAGAGCCTTAGAACATAAGGTAAATATTACTGATACATTGCCTTATAGAAGGATAAAGTGCAAGCAATAAAACGAGGCAAGACACTACAATAAGTCCCCTTGACTGAAATCACATTTGTCCATGATCTGTTATTCTGATTGACTCTTAAGAACTGGGGCAGGGATGTCTGAGAACTAATTGCTGTGCATTCAGCAACTGACTGTGCACGGATCTCCGAGGCACAGGCTTGTGTGGAGCTCGGGCATTTGAACCTGGGGAAGACTTAGTTATTCTTCCCTTAGCATATCTCTACCTGGACATGGTTTTGTCTGTGAGAGCTCAGATGCAGATTTCTTGAACCACTTATCAAGGCCAGAGGTATATTATACTGATCTATGAGCACGGTTAGGACTAGTTTTGCCCCAGAGTTTGGTGAGATACCAGCTCTGATGGTACAGAAACAGACACCAAACTTGAGCTGCAAATGTTATTGCACAATTGGCCAGCAGTAATAGGCAACACCAATAATAAAGACAAAAGCACAGATTTAAAGCAGGCAGTAGAATCTGAAAATACTCTTTCTGCAATTGCTTTGAGTACAGAACATCTCAAAATGACAGGGATTTTGCCTGCAGAGTTGCTAATGAAGATGTGGCTGAGATTGTTCCCTGAGTTTGTTTATCCAGCTGTACAAGAGTCTGTATGCCAGTAACTGGATTTATGCAAATTTAAAAATACCAAAGCCACCTTCTGAGGAAAGAAGTTTCCCCATAAGTCCACTAAAACCTTGTATTTATAAATGAGAGGCTTTATTGCTACCACATCTGCTTACATATAGTTGTGCTTTTACTATGAAAGAAAATTTTAAACTAGGTGAAACTTACAAGGGGAGCACATGATGGGGTCCTTCCTCTCTCCCTCCCCCCTGTCTGTACCATTGGTCTCTATGGGGGCAGTTTTGCCCCTCAGGACCTTTGGCAATGTCTGGAGAAGTTTTTGATTGTCACACTCAGGGATAAGGAGCTGCTGGCATCTAGAGAGTAGAGGCCAGGAACCCTGTTCAACATCTGACAATGCACGGGACCACCCCGCCCCTAACCCCAAACAAAGAGTTTTCCAGCCCAGAATGTCAATACTCTTGAGTTTGAGAAACCCTGCCCTAGCTCAGTGACTCTAAAAATTGATTATGTGCAAATGGTCGGTAGTTGTTCAAATCAAGACTTGAATTATTGCCTGCGTTTTCAATCAGCTCTTTGTCACTGGTTCCTGAGCCAGATGTCACCTAATTCGTTCACACATGGCTTTTTGTTTAGCAGGTACTGGGTCCGTTTGTCTTCTCTTGACCAAAGACACCACTAAACCCAGCTGTTCCACCTCAAATGAAAGCCTGGGCTAGGCTTCCAGGCACAACTGGCAGTAAATCGATGCCTTCAAAGCAATAAGGGAAAGAAGTGACTTCAGGGTTATCAGAAATCCCCTTCCGATGTTAAAAATTCATACCCTTCACGCACACATACCACACGCACACATGCACTCCTCAAACATTTTTTTAATTATCTGAATTTTTTTCTTTGGGACAGTGCTTATCAAATTAAAATTCTTGGACCCCCCAGTATCAGAAAGACCAAGGTGTTGTTAAAAATGCCACTTTCTGAAATCTGTCCAAGCCCTATGGATTAAGAATCCCTGAGTATCCAGTCTGGTAGCCCACACCTTTAAAATGCTCCTGGGAGGCACGCCAAGTTTTGAGTTACTGTTCTAGGACAAGGATTCTTTTCTTCCCCACACACCTGTGCATGTGTCTCTGCCGGTTTGTTTGGGTATGTGACCGAAACATCCCAAGGCTGACAGGACCACAGGGACTAACCAGGGATAGAAGTCGGTGTTGTAGAATAACCCAGAGACATGTGGGTAACTATTTCACAGCTAGTTTAATTATTTTACATGCTAATTGTTTATTCACATCTGAAAGAGTGAGGTAAACAGGATTGCTAAGACAGGAGAGAAAAATTAAGACAATCTGGGAACAGTGGAGCTTGTATTGTACATTATTGGGGCAAATTGATTGACTGGAAGGTAGCAGAGAAGTTTGTCCTGGGTCCTTGAGTGGCCAAGGTGCAGTTCTTTAAGGATTCCCCAGAAAGCAGTGAGAGTTTAGCCGTGAGCAGATGTGACGAGCTGTCCTTGTCTGATGTCAGCCAGTATCTTCCACTCAGTGCTGTCACCTGAGTCAGATTCAGCCTGCACGATGTCCTCGCTGGAAAGCCACTAGGAAGTAAGGTCCCTCTCTCCTTCCATCCAAGGCCAGGCAGGAGGCGTTTCTCTTTGCTTCTGAGCATTTGCTTCATTTTTCTGCTTTTCTGAGGATCAGCTCTACCAGATCCTTCATGGGGATCTGACTAAACCTGGCTGCCCCTCAGCAAACAAGTTTATACCATCTTGATCCTATCAGCAGGCAGAAATAATTACTCCTTTTTGAACTCCAAATTCGAAGTCTCAGGAGAGAAAAGATGACTGCACAACACGGCCAGGGTTCTATCACAGTGCACACAAGAGATGGAAAGCAGTTCAGGGTCATGTCGTTCAAACATTGCTCCAGGGGCTGACACTAGTGGGTTTAGGGTATCAGTCATCACAAGAGAACAGAACTGGCTCATATCTAAAAAGTATCTGCCAGGAAATAACCCACCAGAGGGCCACGCTACCCTTAGAGGCATGTGGAAAGGAGGGGACTTGAGGGCGAGTCGTGGAGGTGGTGGAGGTGGAGGTGGAGGTGGGGATGAGACAGGGGAAGGCAGGGCGGGAGGTTGGCATTTGTTGTTCAAAATTGCCCACACGTTGTATAACGCAAGCTGACTCCTCTTCCTTATCCGTCTTTGAAAATTATGGCTTTGACAGAGTTTATTAAATTTGCGTGGTTTTAAGAATCACCTGGAAGCTGCTTGTTAAAAATGTACAATGTGAGATCTGGGGCCCTACTCTAGAATCATGAGGGTATGGTAGGGAAGGGGATCCAAAGAATTCATATTTGTAAATGCCATTTTGATCATGCAAAACTGGCAAATTACCCTTAAAGAGCTAACCCATATAAAATATTGCCAGGTTCTTACAAGAGAACATAAATTGGTTTCAGATTTAGAGAGCAGTGTTTGATAGGCAGAGAGGGGAGGAAAACTAAGGTATGTTTGAGAGAAGCTTTAAAGCTGTGTGGTCCAATATAGTAGTTGCTAGCCACGTGTGGTTAGTTAAATTAAAATTAAAGTTAAATGAAATTAAAAATTCACTTCCTTAATTGTACTATCCACATTTCCAGTGTGCAATAGCCACTTGCGATTAGTAGCTGCAATATTGAACAGCACAGATCCAGAACACTTCCTTTGCTGCAGAAGGTTCTAATGGATAATGACACAGAGGAGGAGTCACGGAGGGAGAAAGATGGTGTAAAACTTATGTTGGTGTCCCCATCATAGGCCTATGCAGAGTTCATACGTAAGTGTCATAATGTTGATGATGTTGACGTACTCAGGCTGATGATAATAATGACACTTACTGAGCACGTGTTACTTGCAAAAGCCTCTATTGTAATCCTCCAAACAACCTGAACACTTACTGTGGTACCAAACTGTCTCACTAGGTGACATATGTGGGTAACTGTTGATTGTTGTCATGTGGAATTTAGGACTCCATATAGCCAGATGATCTGATTTTGCAAGGAAAGCCAGAAACCTAGATTTTTATGTGAAACAACTTGATTTTTTAAATGGCTTAATTTTTTTTGACAATGCAGTGAAGACCAAACAAAATATGTCTGTGAGATGGATTCAGTTCATGTAATGCAAGGTTTTGACTTTTTAGAAGCTGGATGCACTGAAAATTAATTTCCTGATTTAACTATGTTCGCCCCAGCAATGCAACTTCCACTTTAATGCTGGAGAGAATACTACCATTCTTTATCTGAAGTTATCTACTCCTACAACCCCTCTCAGTCTGAAACAGTCCAGGACTGATGACATATTCAAATAATCTTATTTATATCTGCAGAAATATGTTAAACTTTTTTTCTTCCATTTATTCAATAAATAGTCACTAAGTGCTCAATAAGACATTCTGCTAGGAACTGTTTGGGAAACCTTTATGAGAAAAAAAAATCCTAGCCAAATGGAGCTTATTGAATCTTATGGACAGAAAAGGCATAATGGAAAGTCATGATAGCTGTGAATTGCTACTTCGTTTTCTGTATTTTAATCACTACTTCATGAGATTTAAATACCTTTTGAAGGAGCCTCTATGTCTTGCTGTCCATTATTTTGGATAGCACATTTAAATTGACAAGGATGGAAGATTAGTAATGACTCAGGAACTGGGAAAATGGATAAAACCCTTAATTTTGTAAGAAATCTCTAGGCTGTTTGCATTTTTTCAGAGCTGCACCCCTTCTGTTATAATACCTGGAGTCCAGCCAGGCACAAAGCTCGCTGGCTGACTACTGCAGAAAGGAATCCTGGAACCTCTCTTGCTGACCTGTTTCCCGACTTTCCAGCACAGCTAGCCAGGGACTTCCTATAGGCAATGAGGGAATTCAAAAACAATGAATGTGGTAGTTCAGCTATTTATCTGGGGACCACTGGGGATGAGACTGAGCCATTTTCCTGCAGCTGGCCACGGAGGAGGCTCAGTATGAAAGAACAGGGCCATGCAGTTGGCATATGTCTCATTCTGGGCTAAAGCTTTCTATCATAGGATTCAGTCAGACCCAAAATGCAAGATGAACATCATCTCTTTCGTTGTTACTTATAATAAATAGAAAAGAGATGGACAGATCATGTTTTCCAAAGGTGCTTGATGATAAGAATGACCAAAGGCACTTAATAATTCCCTGTGCTGGAAATGCAGATTCAGGGTCAGGGATGGAATCAGGAA